GATATACACACACTGTATGTAAATGTATGTGTGTATACATATACACAGTGATTCTAATTTGTTTTTAAATATTCGCACTCCCATGAAGTTCGTAACAAGTAGAGAACTCGACAATAGTACTTTGTGCACCAAGGGCCGAAAATGGGTCTTTCCGGGCGAGGTTGATGTTTGAGCACGAGTGGCAGTCGAGGGCGCCACAGGCGCCCGAGATGAACACGAGCTGCTCAGAACATCATCCGAGCCTGGAAAGGTCCATTCGGCCCGTGTCGCACACAATATTTTTCATAAAAAGGGCATAAAAAAGACCATCTTTCGTCGCCTACAAAGCGGATTGAAAATAGAGTTTTCCCGCCCTAGGGCGGTAAAATCGAGCTTACGCCGGGCGGTAAAACTCTATTTTCGGTCCACTTTATAGGCGCCGAAAATGGTCGTTTTCGGCCTCGTGTTATGAAAACCATATTTTCGATACACTTTGTAGACGACGAAAGATGGCCTTCTTTATGTCATTTTTATAAAAAATACGGTGTGCGACACGGGCCGAATGGATCTTTCCAGACTCGAATGATGATTTGAGCAGCTCGTTTTCATCTCGGGCACCTGTGGCACCCTCGACTGCAACTCGTGCTGAAACATCAACCTCGCCTGGAAAGACCCATTTTCGGCCCTTGGTGCACAATATACTGTGTCATTTGGAATCTTTCATACGCATAATGAAAAGCGTAGCAACGCCTTGAAAGACAGCGTGTGACAGTTTCGAAATTAACTAATTCTTTACAAGCCAATTGAGTCTTATAGTCTATATTATGTCATAGAATCATGTATAAAGTTGTTGAAGAATACTAAAAATACTATTTGTTGTATCTATTTTATATGTTTATTATGTTAAAATGATAGACATGTCAGTGAGTAAAAATTGAGTCATTTATCGTAAGCAATTTCATTTCAAATCGATCGCTGTGAATATTGTCATTTATCTTTTCGAAAACGTGAACGAGTCTGCTTACTGTTCAATTGTCGGAGCACGCGTCGCGAGTTTCAGGATGGTGAGGAGACGGATGTCTCGCTCGGGTCGCCGTCAGTTTAAGTACTAGTCGAGATACGGGTTGGGTCCGATGCACGATTCGAAATAGCGCAACGGGGCCTCGCAATCGCGGTGGACAACCGGTGGCGGAAAAATTCAGTCCCGGCACGATGACGCCGCTGTCTCTTTGATGTCAAACGATCAGCTCGATGACGACGACGTCGCGAACGATACAGGTTAGGGGAGTCGAGTTCGATCGCACGGGATCGGCCGATGTCGATTTCACGGTTTTCAAGCCGCGCGGGGGCCACTGCGAATATCTCATTTCAGATCCACTCACCGATAGCCGTGGACAGTTGAAAAATCTTGCCGGTAAACGGTCGAGCGTCCAATCTGTGACGTCCGGCCTCAGAGCTGCGACGATCGAACGGACGGCGGACGAAGGGGGCAAAAAGGGGAGCTTGATCAGCGCGAGGAGCAATGATGATGGTAGGTAAACTGTAGTGTAAAAATACGTGACCATTTGAAAGTTTCTCGCGCCAGTTGCTCTATAGTTTAGCTTGGAACGATGATCGTTGATCCGTCTTTCATTATGTTAATATCCTCTTATAATCTGATAAATACGTTTATCATTTTATTTATTTATATACTTTAAAGCCTAAAAATGATGTCAAAATCTAGCCACATTGGTGCCAGATCCAACACTGGAAAAATAAGACAAATATATTTATTTTTATCTTCGGTGTTTGTCACCACAGGGGAAACTAATAGAATCTAAATTGGGTCAAGAATACATTGTCCCTAGTTGTATTTTATAGAACTGTATCCATTTTAGAGCAGTTATATTATAACGTCATCATAGACATTTTTCCAGTTCTATTATCGGTATTTAAGGATAAGCACTCCATATTTATTTCCCAATGATCACATCCTAACTTATCTGTAAACTTCGATTTTATGACTCCATCGATTTTTCACAATCTATCCTTAGAGTTTCATCCCTTACTGACCTCTGATCTAAAATGACTTTCGTTGGACGCATATGTGCGCCCATAGCACTCAAAGGGTTAACATCATAATTTAAATCTTATGGTAAAATTGTTTTATGGAGTCATCTCTGTTTTCTATTCGAACTTTTGCACTATGTTAACATACAGGGTGTTCCCGAATCAAACGACCAAACTTCACAAGTATGTCCTATGAGTAAAAATAAGAAAGAAATATTATATAAACATTGACCAACAAATGTTTTATAAAAAAATTACAATAAAAAAATGAACGTAAGGTTAATAGTTCGTTGTTGGTCCATCGGAATGTAACAATAAAGTGACGGTATTTGAAATCTGTTCCTTCTAGCTATGTTTACTATATTTGAAATATCTATTATTTAGCTCTATTACACTGAAAAGAAGTATGTTTCAGTTTAAAAGTGCATCTGCATTAACATTTTAGGTGAAACTGAATTTATCAATTACCGAGTTTCATCTTCATCTTACTTTAGTTCAGTGATACTAAACATAAGATATGCTTATGTATATTACATTATAATTCCATTGTAAAGTACTTTACATAATTTTAAGATCATCGTTTCGAACAATGTTACATAAATTTCAGAGTCTCGAGTGTCAGGCGATATTTGTCGAATATGTCACATGGGTAATTTCCCACCAACCGATGAGAATCGAGTCGGTCGTGGAAGACAGAGTCAAGGCATTCACGGAGACGACAGTCAGACGTCGTCCTTATCTTCCTACTCGTATCTCGGGCCTTTGATCTCGGCGTGCAAGTGAGATTATCAATATATACATTGCGGTTTATCTTTTACGCTAATTTTATGTATAAGCTGGTTAGTAATGGGTATAATTTGTATTCGGATTACGTTTCAATTAAAGTAACATCAGGTTCGACCGTGAAATTAAATTAATTTTTTCCTTCTATGTTTTACATTATTACTTATTCACAAACTAGTGTATTTTTGTAACTATACATCTATTCCTGTTTAAATTATATGTATAATTATTAATGATTTTTAATTTTCAACGAGTACATCTCGGAGAAGTTTGGTAGAATGACTCCAGAGATTGCAAGCAGTTGACCCGTTAGAGATATCTATTCGTTTGATTTGTAATTTTATTGCAAAATTAAATCTATTGATTTTGTTATCGAATTTTGATTTTAACGCATAATTAACTAAATTTTTTGTATAAAAACCATTCATTTTGACTGGCTTGGTAGTTCTAATGTTAATCAGTTAATGGTATATTAAAATTATTAATATTATTCTTATATTGATTATAATTATAATTAATAATAATATTGTAATGTTAATCAGTTAACGGTATATTAAAATTATTAAAATAATAAAATGTTACGTAAAAATTAAAAAAACGGTATCATAAAAAGGTAATGTAAATCAAATCATTGAACAAATGAAGAGACAGAATGACATTAAATATGTATTATCACATACATTAATATTGCAATGTAAAATGTGTAGGAATAACATCTTTAATAAGAACTATATCGAATTTGATCAAAATTGATGTAACGCTTATCTGCTATGCTATCTATGTATGCTATATGTATATTAAATTAATTCTATTATTGATAGAATTCCGTTAAATATCTTTCACTTTTTTTTGCTTTCTTCAATTTTGACATCAGTAACATTTTATTCTTGAAACTCATCAAAATACATTTGTCAAACAAACATTTTCTAATCCGATTAGCTTACTCAGTTCTATCAAGGAATTTCAATACGCGGTCATGTAAACGTGGCTGTCAATTCAGACGATAATCCATTAACTATCGTGACAGGTGTCGCGGGACAGTAGCTCTGGTACACGCACAGTGCTTGGAAAGATGGTTGACAGAATCAGGTCACACGAGGTGCGAGCTTTGTGGCTACAAATACGCCACGAAAAGAGTGCCGAGGCACAACATCTTCCGCAGCATTGCCATATGGTTCAATACCGTAATAGTGACTCGACAAGTAAGATCATTTTTTACTATTTATCTATCAGACTAGCATAGTGCTTCCCAGCTGATGAAAGAAATTTCTGTTTAATTGTAAATAGTATTTTTCAAATTGATACTACAGAGGCCCTTTTGCATAAAAAGATCAAAATTCATAATCACTTATCATATTCTTATCATTTAATTGTTAAATCATTCCATCATTTATAGTATCAATTATTTAAAAAAATGAAGCATGAATATTAAACTTTAAAATATTTGTCAATTCTTATGTTTTTATTATAAATTCTATCATTCTATATATTAAACAGAAGCATGACGAATATGTTTCCAGATGCTATTAGATATACTCTATTTGGTGGTGACTACCCCGTTGGCCCTGTTCTCCTGCTACATTTGCGTCCTAGCGCTGAGAATGTTGTTAAAGCACGGTGTGCAAGAGATGCCATGGATGATTATCGCTATGCTTCCTACCTGTTCCCTTACTCTGATTGCTTACTGGGGTTGGGTAATAACATTAGCCAGGTACGTCGAATTTATACCATGATCATCAGAGAATAGACCGAGTATAGACCAATGTATTTTCGTTAACACCATAAAAGATAGAGAAAAGATGATTGACATGCATGTAGAAAAATGAAAGTAACTCTCCTATTCATTTTCTTTCTCTCAATCGTTTACAATTAGTCTCAGATCTCTCATTTGGGCGTCAGCTCTATTCTCGTGTCTATGTTTACAGAGGGAGAGTGACATGAGATGCCATTTGAAATTTATTGATTTTACTATAAAGTTTTGAAAAATTGAATTCTGAGTTGATACACATAATAAGTAATGTTTTAGCAAAAATGCTTTGAAATTTTGCTTCAATAAAAAAAAAAAGTAAATAAATAACACTTTTGCAACATCCGCTATGTGATTCTTGTAGAGTTTCTTATACCAAAGACACATTCGGAAGCAGTTTCGTTATCAGAAATTTCTGTAAATCCGTAAATATGTAAGACTTTTTTCAAATTTTTCCATCTATAATTTATTCGAATAAAAATTTGTGAAGCTTGCAAATTTTGAAGAATTGTTAAATCTAAAGAGGTATACTTTTAATTATGGTTTTCAATATTTTTCCTGTTTAATTTCTCCAATTCTAGTAAACTGGAATTAATAGAAAATTAAATAAAATAAATTGTACTATGTGAGTAGCACGTGTGAGAATTTTTTAAAATCGTTCCATCCATTATTTATGTTAAACAAAAATCAATGAAGTTTTGAAATTCTGGAATAATTAATTTCAGTCACTGCCATATGCTTGTATTTTTCCGATTTTAACGTATATCAACATTCGATAATTATTTACTAGAGATCTAGTAATATACGAGAAGTGCATGTGAGAGTTTTTTCAGATTATTATATTAAAAAATTGAATTAGAGAAGCATTACCAAACAATGAATATCATTTAAAAATCCCTTCATCCAGCAGGAATTTGTTATACAGTATTGGATACTACAAAAATTTCTGATAAAAGAAACACCTACAAAAACATGTAATATCTCATTTTTCTCAAAATCATGCATTTCTACAAAAAAACCTCTATTTTTTAGAAACGGTATTTTGCTAACGGTAATTGCTTCCGGATTTATTTTTGGCATGAGAAGCTCTATAAGAATCACGTGGATATTGCAAAAAATAAAATATGCTTTTTGTTGGATTGTGTGAATCGATTAAATCTGTAATTGATTTGAACACTAATTAAGAACTGATATCTAACTCTCAACTCTTTGTTTTCATGTAATACCTTATTTTCCGAAAAATCATGCATTTTTAAAAAAAAACCGTCATATTTCGCTAACAGTATGCAAGCAGAAATACTCTTTCCGCATTTGTCTTTGGCATGAGAAGCTCTATAAGAGTGATGTAGATATTGGAAAAAAGCTTTTTTCTATTTTATTGTGTAATTGTTTATTTCAAATGTTAGTTCTAATTGACTCACCCTGTAGATACATACACAGTACAATTTTTGTTGCCCTGTCTCTGGCGTTTTAATGCTGGGAGGCAAGACCGCGCTGTTTGTACACGCGTAATCGATCGCGATTAATTTTCAGTTTTATAATTGAAACGAGTTCTGTCACGTTTTTCGCGTAACTGCTTATTAACAGCAATTACTTTATTACCGCCTCGTTCATTATTGTGAAACACCACAGTATCGCGTGATAGTCGTGTACGTTTGCATTAATCTCGCGGAAAAATGTAACGCCATTACGGGTCTTGATTTATAGTTATTCAATTTCCTTAGTTAAATCATACTCGAATCTGGTTCTTATCGCGCGCGACGGTCTACAAATCTATCCGGTTAATAATTTGTCCGTACAACTTAATAAAAGATTAAGCCTCATATCCACTTGTAACATGTTCTCTATTGTGTCATCGTTGTATATCAATATCACCGGGAAATGTTGCATCGATATAATAAAAATGTATATAAATGCAATAAAGAATAATATAATAAGTTGTATACTATAATAAAAATCAAAATATATATAAATACATAGATTTATTATAATTTTTGCCTACCAGCTATGAAATTGAGATTGGTAC